AGGGCCAGAAGGCAGAAGGGGACAAGGAAGCTGGTGATAGGGAACCCAAGGTTGAGTAAGGATAGTGTTGATGTGTTATGAGGTTGTTAACCATTGTCATAGGGCAACATGTGTACTAACTGTTAAATGAGAGACTATTTTGTTCTGTAAGCCTTCATCTAAAGTGAGAATAGTAGCACAATTGGAAGAGCGTAGTTGATGTCACTGAACTGTGCATGTAGAAATTTTTGAAATGGTGTATCTTTCGCTATGTATATTTTCACCAAAAAAAAAAGGTTGAGAAGGGAAAGGGTTGACATGTTGTGGGGTTGTTAACCAATGTCATAAAACAATATGTGTACTACTGTTTCATGAGAATCTATTTGTTCTGTAAGCCTTCACCTGAAGTACAATAAAAAAAAAATAATAATTCAGCCATTGAAAACTCTATGGAACATAGCTCTGCTCTGACACACATAGGTAGGGTCACCATGAATTGGTATCGACTTGACAGTAACTAATTTATTTATTTATTTTTTTGGTTAAGGATTTTTTAGCCCAAGGTGCAACATGGTTTCTAGGATAAGAGCTAGACTGCCTGATCATGGTCCCAGGAGGCTAAAGGAGGAGTGATATATTGGAGTTCCTGCCTCATGAAGTTGGCAGACTCCTCCTGCTCCTTGACTGTTAAGCCTAAAACGTCAAGAGACCAGAACTCTCAAAATCATGGAAGAAAACCTTCTGCCTTTTTCCAGAATTCTATTCCTCTCCCAAATAGAAACTTCATCATTTTAGCAGTAGCTTCTTCTCTTCTCTCTACTTTCTTACTCACACCTCCCAAAGGGATGAATGAGTCTTCTGATTGTTGAGTTGAAAGCAGAAAGTGACCAAGAGTTTGCCTAGCTTAGCCAGTTCTGAAAGGACAGTCTGCAAGGTAAGTGTTTTCTGCTCTGTTCCTTTGTCCATAAAGTAAGGACACTTGGGTCAGGCCTATTTTCTCAAGATAGGTCAGGAAATGCCCCCTCTCTCCTGTCCACCGAATTCAATGTGTTGGAGGCAGTGATTCTGGGCATGGTTGCTCTGCCGACCTACTTCTTACTTGGGGGGATCATCTCAAGGTCTAGACTTGGGAGAAAAGAATTGGGAAGCCCAAATGAAACCAAGCTGAGTTATCCAAGCTGCGTTCTCCAGTCCAGGTGGTTATTATTATTGTTGTTGTTACTATGTTGATGTTGTTAGTTGCCCTTGAGTCAATTCTGACTCATGGTGAAGCCATGTGTGCAGAGTAGAACTGCCCAATAGGGTTTTCAAGGCTGTAACCTTTTGGAAGCAAATCACCAGGCCTGTCTTCCAAGGCACCTCTGGGTTGGGGTTGAGCCTCCAACCTTTCGGCTAGTAGTCCAGCACTTAATTGTTTATTTCGCTGATATTTTGACCTCTGTATGTCTTTTACTTCTCAAATTCCTCAACATTTGGAACCAATGAAGTTTATGAGCAATTATCACCCTCAAATCCCCGCAAATTCTAATGGCTAATATTTGTTGACAACCTAGTATGTGCCAGGCACTATGCTAAGGGCTTTCCAGGCATGTTTCATTTAATTCTCACAACAACTCTATGAAGTAGGCACTGTGGTTGCTCCCACCTGACGGATAAGAAAACTGAGGCTGCAAGATCCTAAGTGACCTGCCCAAAGCTATACGAAGCTAGTCAAGGTAGATCTTGGATATGAAGTGGATCCAGCCTATTGACTGCAAAGCCAGGCTTCCTTCCTACTGGTGCTTCCTCTCCTATAATCATCCCTTAACAATTTAAGAAAAAAATGACAACAGAGCTCCAGTTTATCCTTGTTGCAGACATTGGAAAATAATGGGACCATCAATCTGTTGTGAATGCTATCTAAAGCAGATCTCGTCTCTGAGATCTGTCAAACTGAGCTACTGTGAAGTCTTGACGTACCTTAAAAGTTAGATTCATAATAAGTTGCTTCAGATTTTTAATTTCCATGTTCTTTATAACCATAAGTATCAGTAACAAAATCTATTTAATTTTGGGTTACCAATTCAATAATAATCCTGACACCTCAATGCTAAAACAAACAAGCACTTCAAATTTTTACAGACATCATCTTAGAGACGAATAAGAATAACACACTGCAAGGGCATGCAACTAAGATGTCATAATCACAGGAAGAAATACATTTTGGGCTTTAAGTATAGTTAAGTAAAGTCTTCTAAAATTCTTATAATTGAAACTTGCCCATTATAATTCATGAGTTATTTAATTAAACCTTAATCTGTTAGTGTATCGTTAAAAGTTTGCCTTTTGAAATAAAATGTTAGAGCATGTAAAATGGAAGAATGTAAAGATTACCATATCACCCTTCTAGGGTGACTATTTGGTGTCATTTTGTTACCTCTGAAATTGGTTTCTCGTAGACATCTTCTCCTATGGACTTCTCCTGGGCAAGGATGGCATCTCTGTGCAGGACCCGCAGCACTTTCTCTGGCTCCGCAGACCCGTAATGAGCCTCCAGAACCTCAGGTTTCGTTTTCTCTGTCTTCAGCATGTGGATCACATCTTCCCTGGCCTGTGGCAGAAAGTGCAGTAAGGTCAGAGGGTTGACAACACAAATTACACGTCGTGCTCACAGAATCAACGCGGAGCTTATCGAATGCATCCCCATCTCTTCAGGACTATTGGCAAATTCACTAGAGATTCCGTTCTTATTTTTTAGCAAAAGCAGATTGGCAAGCAGATACACTGCATCAGGTTGCTAGGAAGCAGGCAAGCAGAAAAAGGAATTGTGCTAATATTAACTCCATAAGAACTGCTTTATCTAAGTAGCAATAATTTGAGAACGAGTAGGGTTGGTCCTGGGATACCTACTTTAGTTCAATGTGCTAGGAGGTTTTCTATTTACCCACTCAATGCAGTATTCAAATCTGGTTTAAAATAAACACTGCTCTCCCCATTCTAATGATAACTCCATGTGCAATTAACAAAAATAGCCTTTATTAGTGATTGCACGTTTCCTATCAAGTAATTCATTTTGCACAGAAACATGTGGATGGGAACTCACATGGTGCTGGGTTATTTCAATCTAATGTATTCACACTGGAGGTAAAGTCTCATCCTTTCAACAGTCAGACTGCCAACCGGATGAGCCAGGATTGTAGGGCCAGAGTTGTTCCTTTAGTTTCTTAGCAAAACTTTAGCATCTTACTGAAGCTCTCAAAAAAAAAAAAAAAAAAAACCATGATTATAGGTTTTACATTCTATTGACTATGGTCCCCATCACATAATGCAAATACATCTGGATATATTTTGTGCTGGTTAGTAGTGATAAGTGCTCTAGTTATGACGCAGCTGACATTTGCTGAATGTACTCCCATCTGGACATATATTGGAGCTGTTTTTCCAGTAATGATGGGTATGAAATATCCTGACTTCATTCCAACTTTACTAAAGAACAAACTGGTTGGAAATGGAGTTTCAGTGTGACAACAGAGTAGAGTTGTCCCCTGTGTTATGCTAACTATGGTTTGAAATTATCGTGGTATGCTAAACCAGTCAGCCATGAGTATTCGCTATAAGACCATTATAAAGTTTGTCTTTCTTGAGGTTTCTCACTTTTATTGTTCTTCCATAGTCTCCAATCAATCTAACTCCAGATGGCTAAATATAATTCATTACAGGAACGTCAATGGACTGGAATTTACAGATTTTTCCTGCGTTGTCTATGCCACATACAGATGTGCTCATTTCAAGAGAAAATAGAAAAGATTAATGTTTAAAGAACCTAGTGGTTTGGAATTAGCTAGATTGTTAGAACCAGAAAATAGTTTGAAGGAGAGGCAATGTGTCTCCATGCAAGGTGGAAGAAGATATGCACACACGCAGTGTCAGGCTGGCCTGTACTGTGCCTTTATGCAAATTAGAAAAATGTGCTCCCTTCATCCAAGAGATACAACCCTGAGCCAGGGTACAGTTTGATGAGTGACCCAAGAGTGGGCTGTATTTCAGTCCCTATTCATTCCCTTTGCTAGGCATCCTTGTGCAAGTGCACATGGTGGCCCTATACTGAAGGAGCCTCAAGGTATGTAGACTGTCATTTGTCTTCAGGCAGGAAGTGTTCCTGTGTTCATTGTACACAGGTGAATATGTATAAACCCGTTGCCATCCAGTCAATTCTGACTCATAGCGACACTACAGGACAGAGTAGAACTGTCTTATACGGTTTCCAAGGAGCGGCTGGTTAGATTCAAACTGCTGACCTTTTTGATTAGCAGCTGAACACTTAACCACTGCGCCACCATGTCTCTGAATACGTATAGCATCTTCTAAAATAATGTTTCTCAAACCTGACTATATTGGAATCACCTGGGAAACTTTAACAAAAGCCCGAGGCCCAGTCACATCCAAACCAATTATATTAGACTCCCTGGGGGAAGGACCTAGGCATCAAAACTTTTAAAGCTCCCCCGGTGGTTCCAAGGTTGGGCGCTACTGTTCCACCCTAACCCGCTAAGAGACACACAACCAATCTGAATACTAATTCTTGGCAATATTCAATCTAGCTTCCCCCACCTCAGTTCAAGTGAATTTCCTTTTTTTGTTTTTAGAAAGGTGTGGTCACCTTTCTCCTTTAGATCAACTCCACACCTGAGGTCAACCTTTTGCTTTGTACAAAGCTGAAGGAGAAAAGAGTGTCCTGAAAGAAGAAACACAGGCCTGTGAATTCAGTGACCTGTGAAATGACAGGAAGGAAAATTTAGAATCACATTTGAAAATGGCGACAACGAAGAGTTGGCAAGCTGTCAGTCTCGATAACAAGCGACTGTCTCTTTTCTATTTTTAAATAAGATGAAGTAAAGGCTGTTTTCTAAAGCTTCCATTTTAACATGTTATGAACTCTTGTAGGGCAGACATAGGATGTACTGTCCTTTGTATAATAAATTGAGATGTCAATTCATAATGAAATATAAAGATTTCAAATTGTCTGCTCCCCTGCTCTCTGACACGTTACAGAGGATGTCTAAGAAAGAAATAGAATAAAAACAGAACTCAAAATCTTTAAAAAAAATTATTGTAGAAGCTTAGAAAATAGATTTGATCATATAGCGCTTGGGTAATTTAAAAAAACACAAATAAATAAGAGACCAAAAGAAAATTGGTTAGAATACATACACTAAAATATTGGACAGTGAGATTATGGCCTGCTTTTATGCTCTTCTTTTTGCTTATTTGTATTTTCTAAATTTTCTAGAGTGAGCACATAATTAATTTTATAAAGAGAAAAAACTTTTTTTTTAAAGGAAGAAGGAATATTTCATCATTTCTATTTCACATAAATAAAACAAAGGCAAATAATTTAATAGAAAGTTCTCTCTTTTTCATACGTCCAATGCCGAGAAAGCCAACTTCATTCTGGCTACAGACAAGTCTCTGCAGTGTTTCTGGGGTTTAACACAAAGGAGGATGTAAAACCAAAATTGTCCAAATGATTATTCTGTACCTTGCTTTTGACATCATTTTGATTCCTTTTAGAATTACTTCAAACACAGCAGAGGTATGTTTTCATTTTATTTCTGATAATCTTCCCACTCATGTCCAGAATTGCCAGAACAGTCACTGATCCGTGAACGTACTGAACACAAGGTGTTGTAAGAATTATAGGCTTTCCTACCTAATATTTATTCTGATTAGTCACATTCTGACTAGACAACTGAAGGAATCACAGCAGAAAAATTTCCATATGGCATTTCTATAAATGACACCCTGAAAAACAGTTTGTCCCTAACTGTGGGTTAAAGTGAATGGAAAACGGTTCAAATTTAAACTTCATCAAATAATCTTGAGTGCATAAATTGCACTGCTGGTTAGCACAAATTCAAATGACCTGAGCATAAGAGGAAATTAAATAAATCTTAAAGCTATCAGGAAAATAAGAATTCAAATTAAAACATGGAAATAAAATTCATAGCATGGTATCGTAGAAAGAACCCAGCTTTGAAAAAACTTAGAATTAGTTTCCATCTCAATTTTGCTGTGTGATTTGGGTGAATTATTAACATTGCTTTGGCTTAATTTTATCATCTATAAAATGGGATCCTAATAATTTTCTTACACAATTGTTGTTTGCATGAAACTGGATATCATTATATAAAATACCTACTATGTATGAACCTGGCATGCAGTAGGTGTTAAATTAATAGTAATGATTTATTATTGTTTCTGTTAGGTCCTTATCATTAGATGCCTTTTTGCTCATGGGCAGAAAATGAATTTTTTAAAATATACTCTTCCCTACTCAAATGTAACATTTAAGACATATAGTTTAACTATCTAGAAGTCTTATAATTTGCTCTTAAGAACAGTTTTTTAAAAGAAATTTTAAAATCAGAGCAGACCAATGGTCAATTCAGTAGAAAAGCCAATTTTTTTTTCTTTTATTGTACTTCAGGTG